CTTCCTTTCTTTTCTTTCTTCCTTTCTTTCTCTCTTCTTGGCTGTTGTTGTATTTCTAACGAGTTTTTTGATTGTTCGACAGATCAAATACTTGAGGCATGTGTTGGTAAGCATAGCAGCTGTCCCCGAATTGTGGCAGGTAAGGGAATTACTAGACAAACCTTCTGAACTCGCTACAATGTCCTTTCAGTTGTATTTGCCTTTCATCAATATACACCTATTTCGAAAATCGTTGTCGTACCAAGAGCCTCAAGTAACAAGCCAAGGCTCCAGAGAACCTTGAGAAAATTGATTTATTCATGGTTCATGTAAGTGGCTATAGCTCTCCACTAATTATCATCTCAAGCAGCCTTGCTTGGAGCAATTTGTGGAGTCAATAAATGAAAATGCACCTTGAATAAACTAATTATAGCTAAAAGTACCGACGTTCTCTGCGGTCTTGGCTTGTTGCTTGAGGCTTTTGGTGCGACAACGATTTCTGAAATAGGTGTATATTGAATGACAGATACTAGACATACAAGTGAYTGGACTTGTGTTTTCATTTACTAACGAATACATCATGATTTTTAGGTCCCCTGTCTTCCTAACGTGTGGAGAAGTGTTTTGTTGGCACCGTTCAAGTCAGGTAATATTATTGTAATAACTACTGACATTGGCGTAGCGATATCTTGACTACAGGGAAGGCATTTTCCCGCCAATACACACGCGTACGCGCTTAGTTATGTCACGCCATATCCACAGGAATCCCGCATGAATTAATGAATTTCGATGCCGAGATAAWATAGTAACTTGTTATCATATTCAAATTAAACCTACCAAATCAATAGACTTAGACCTTGTCTTTCATAAAAAATAGGAGGGGGGGGGTACGATTCCTAGTGTTTTTCCTCGCTGCGCCCTTATGCAGGCAGGTACCTTTCTTATCCTAATTTTTCCAGTACACTTTATTTCTTRAATTCTTCCACAGTGTCTTTACCGCTGTCAGACGTAGAGCTGAAATCTTGCACTGAATCAGCAACACTCCTTCAGAGGTATGAAGRCTGGAATTAGAGTTACTCTGTTGACTTTATKGCCTTAAACCACTCGCGCAGCARGTAAACCAGTAAAATGTATATAGGWTTTCCCYTTGAACCAAACTGCGCGCTCGCTCGTTCTGTGTTTTGAGGTAAATTTTCAGACGTCGTCCGTCTTGTTTAAGGTGTCCGTTGCTGTTGGATCTCAACTTAGAAGTGATCGCCGAACATTTTCATCGTGTTGGATTACATGCTTATGCTCTAGCTTGTCTCATTCTCATCCCTTCAAAGAACACAAGAAAAACAAAAATCAAGGTTAGTTATAAACGGGCATCTCGCAAGACATAACTAACTTACCGTGCCTTGTCGTGCCGTGCCGTGCCTTGAACGTGACGCTGCTGTGTACAACCATTTTGATTGGATAAGCCTATTAACATTGCTGTGAGTGTTCCGAAGGAAGTGGACAATGCAGTCGTTATCGCGCCAAGGCCATTAGTTTACCTTGGCTAGTGAACTTGTTTTTACTTTTATTTGCTTAAAAAAGAAGAGTAAATCTTGATTTTAYAGGACATGTACCAAAAGAACATATAAATAAAAATAAATCCTTCAGTTAATTATTAGTTATTTGTAGTTTCTGATTATATTTATTTTACTCTTTGTTGCAGGACTTGCTGGATACAAATTGTGCCGTCGTTATTCTTGACCAACTTCAACATCAGCGAGAGCATGCGCAGACATTGTCTCATGTAAAAATGGTAAGCAAAAACCAAGTAAGTACGTAAGGTGTGTGTGTGTGTGTGTGGAGGGAGAGGGGGGATAGCCACATTTAACTGTACGTAAGGTGTGGGAGGATGTTGTGTTTTCTGTGCCGTGTTCCGTAATAGCTGTTATTACTGTTGAGTTCGCAATGAGAATTTTTTTGTTTTAAGAGTCATACAAGTGAGGCTATCCTGCCGRTACAATGCTTGTTGTCTCATTTGCATCTCATTTGCATGCATCCATGATAAATTCTATTGTTTATTTTTATTTGTAGTTTCTCTATGCGATCACTTTATCTGCGGCCAAGTTACAAACGCGGAACTCCTCATTCGYAAAGCACATGTTTGTCCAGGTTATCGCTGTTTCTTACTTGAGTGTTTTGTGACATGACTTTTTTGTGTCCCTTAGATCGAACAAGAAGTCTTCCAGTATATYGAAAGAAACCAAGAATATGAAGTAAGTAGAACAAGAATACTCCCTCACAAACCTTGTAGACTAGACTGCCTCCTAACTAGCGTTTATTGTATGTCAGGTGCTACTTGATACAATACATTTTGACAAGATGGTTCGTGTGCTCATCAGTACTGACCAGATTGATGGGCTTCTTCTCAAGACTTTAAAGGCTAACAGGTAACTAGTACAGACGGTGATAARGTCATAAAAACGATCATGAATGGGCTGACCTTACCCATTGTTCTTTCAGTCTTCTTGAGTGGCAAAATTTTGATGACCCTTCCCTAAATCCTTCCGCCCCAACTCTCTACCCTCAATCGAAAAAAATCAATACTCCCATAAAATAAATTGTCCACCGTGTCATACAGAGAAGATTTCGTATACGGATAGGATTGATAGATGTTAATGTGTTAAAGCGAGAGATTACTGTTTATCTAGTCAGAATGCTGATCCACCGTACAGTTACTGCACTGTGCGTCCATGCTGTGAAATCTGCCCTATCGTATCGGTCTTTTTATGCAGAATAATCGCATGTCTAAAATTACTAAAGAAATTATAACATAATATTCGTAACTTTAAATATTAATGGGCGAATTGTTGATTACCAAGAAAAGTCTTCCTAAAAGATTTAATCCAGGACAAATGGTAGTCTGACTTGGAGTGCTGTCACGCTGCTTGGAGTGCTGCTCAAACGGGTTGTGTGACGACACTAAAACAGCTGCGGGGGAGACTAGTATTTTATTACACCAAAACTTGTTTAGTTAAGATGGGATTTCATTTCTAGTTTCTATAACATATGCGCATTTAATTTCACAAGAATCAATCACCTGAAACTTATGCAGAGGAAATTTATGAGCAGTCTTGCATCAATGCTTGCATGACTGCGTTTACTGATACTTTTCTAAGCCAGTATAGTTAAGCCCCGTTCACACTAGCGATTTTTGCTGCGATTTTTTTGATTTTGTCCATAATAAATAATGGTAAAGAATTTACTTGTAAAGTTTTTTTCAGGATACCAAGATTTTCCTAGACGAATGTCTCTTTTGAAGGACGAGACATAAGATTTCATATTTCCGAAAATTGCCACAAAAATCAGCGCAGAAATCGCCAGTGTAAACGGGACTTTACACTACTTTAAACGGGGCTTTACACTACTTTCAACCATGTTTTATTCTCGGTGTGAACGGGGYATAGTCTTGGAACAACTGAGCCCTGAAGATTACGCATTCGTTATTTCAGGCTTGAAGATGCAGTAAAGCTTGTTGGTTTGTATCACCAAGCTTACCCAGACTCCATTTCAGGAAGATATGCTTCACAGTCAGARCAGCTGAACGGCCTCGAGGAACTATGGGTATGTTGTGACGTAGACCATCTTTACACTACTGGACGGTGGAAAACTCAAACCTTGTATGATTCCAGCCACTTCGGTGCATCTTATTTTGCTCAGTTATGGACGGACCATTAGATAATTGAGTAGGGGGTTGCGTAAATCCCCATAAAATATCGAGCAAGCTTGACATCTAGAGTTGGTGTGATGTGGTGTGCTGTTGTATAAGGCTTAACACTTAGTGTTGGTATGACATCTAGTGTTGGTGTAATGTGGTGTACTGTTGTATAAGGCTTAACACTTAGTATTGGTGTGACATCTAGAGTTGGTGTGATGTGGTGTGCTGTTGTATAAGGCTTAACACTTAGTGTTGGTATGACATCTAGTGTTGGTGTGATGTGGTGTGCTGTTGTATAAGGCTTAACACTTAGTATTGGTATGACATCTAGAGTTGGTGTGATGTGGTGTGCTGTTGTATAAGGCTTAACACTTTGTATTGGTATGACATCTCGTGTTGGTGTGATGTGGTGTGCTGTTGTATAAGGCTTAACACTTAGTATTGGTATGACATCTAGTGTTGGTGTGATGTGGTGTGCTGTTGTATAAGGCATAACACTTAGTATTGGTGTGACATCTAGTGTTGGTGTGATGTGGTGTGCTGTTGTATAAGGCATAACACTTGGTATTGGTGTGACATCTAGTGTTGGTGTGATGTGGTGTACTGGTGTATAAGGCATAACACTTGGTATTGGTGTGACAACTAGTGTTGGTGTGATGTTGTGTGCTGTGGTATAAGGCTTAACACTTAGTGTTGGTATGACATCTAGAGTTGGTGTGATGTGGTGTGCTGTTGTATAAGGCATAACACTTGGGTGTTGGTGTGACATTTAGTGTTGGTGTAATGTGGTGTACTGCTATATGAGGCACAGCACTTGGGTGTTGGTGTGAAGTGTAGGGGTCACACGTTACTTGCAGGGCGTGAAAGCGACAAGTTTTGACGTGGTCGTGAAACGAGTGTAACGTACCATGACGTACAGGAGTTATTTGCCTCTTGTAAAATACGTGTTTTGTCGGATGTATACTAGAGCAGTTTTCGCATGACTGTGGGAAACCCACGGCACGAACACGGTTATGACACGACAAGGCATACGCCAGACCAATSACATTGTACGAGAATTTACTTTTCATCCAATCAAATGTCCGAAGCACGGCTCGGAACACGGCGCGAACACGGTCACGCCAATGTCACGGCACTGTCCAACCAATCACATTGCGCGAGGAAAAAATCCCCTAATCAAAAGTCTAGAAAACATCACGGTCGCAGCAAGGCACGCATACGGCACGGACGTTTTCACAGTCACACGAAAACTGCTCTATATATATTAACMAGATGTTCATAATCAAGAATGCTCTCTAAATACCGATAAAAATCTTCATGCTTGTAAAAKACTTTGTTGAGAAACATAATATATGGGTCGTATTTTTGGGTTTTGTTTTTTATCTAAAGGCATTCTTAGAAGCCCGTCACAAGCTAGAAGAAGCTTTGCCGTTCCTTCCTCAACTCGAAGAAGAAGAAGACGACGAAGGTACACAATATATCAATGAGCCGAAAATGGACTCGATGAAAAACGAGATGACTTCTCCAGAAATATTTGAGCATGAGTAACATAACTAACTATTTGTCGAAGTATGACGGTAAAACTTACAACATTTCTTTGAAATAGTTTAAAATTCATTGTGTTAACGAACGGAATAAAAGTTTAAAAATGAAAAAGTCAGTGTAAAGACTGGTATGTTGCCGATAAAATAATAAACCAGCAAGAGGCAAGTCAATCTGTACTAGCTTCATGCTTTGATATCGTGTTGTTACATCTTTACCCTTGGTCTACTAGCACTCTCGTACTGATGGGTGTGTGTCTTTACACTATGAACGATCATGAATACACTGGAGTCGCCATCGATATGACAATCGGATTTCAATGTCTGTTGTCATCATAAAGAGTGCTAAAAACAGCATTGATTGAGTCCGTGTACACACTAATGGGTTTTCGTAATTCGTCTCACCGAAAACGCTTCGAAAGCTTCTAGTCCACACTAACGTTATCATAGCGTTTTCAAACACGCAGATGCGATCGAATAATCAATAAAGTCATAGTCTGCGCATGCGAAAAAAAAACAGTCGGTGTGAATGACGTAACCGTTTTCAAAAGCCTCCGTTTTTGCTAGCTGTCCACAYGAATACGAAGGCCTGTGTTTTTAAATGTCTCTACTTTGTAGAACCTTTTYCAATGCTTTTTTGATCCTTTTAGTGTGGAYGCAAGGACAAAACGCAYCGGGTGGGGGGTCGTACACTAGTTTTTTGCTTTAGGGAGTCAGTACTCATTTCAGAACCCCCTCCTGATAATTGTCGTGCAGTTCCTTAGTTTTATCTTTGTTTTTCACTTCGAGGATAAGGTGTTGCCTTGGGGTGTGTCAAACCGTTAACCGTCTCAAGAAAAAGAAGGTTAAGGAGCGGGAGAAGTGATGGATTGTTAAAAACTTTATTTTGCCGATGCTCATACGCACCGTAAGCTTTCTTTAAAATACAGAGAGAGCAAATACCTAAGCTCCAATCTGTCATAAATCGAGTTCTATCCAGACAGAAAAGGCAACTTATGGATATCTGGACATGAAGAATAATCGTAAAATCCATCAAACATTCCCTCAAGGTCGGCAAATGAGGTTATGTTAGTTTATATCTATTTGCTTTGGTATCCATGGTAACTCTACTTGTTCTAAAATTACSTTGTTTTGTTTCTATGGGTGTGCCCGAGAAACACTTGTTTCTAGGAYCACTTATTGACCAATTAAACGACAGCAGTTTAGTTATAAAAGGGCGATCGTATTTTAGAAATCTAGTTCAAAACAGCAAAAATACACTGTAAGCGTCTTTTGCCTCTAAGCGGTAAACTAAAAAGTCTCAATTCCGGCAAGCGATTTTAAGTATCTAGTAATCTTGTTTTGAAGTAAAAGGGACAGTTTAGAAACACCAAGATGCATTCAAATGACGATATGAKGCAAAGTGATACACAAACTCTTCGTCTTCCTTCTATTACTGTTAATGAACGTACTAGTCTTGTCAAGACGGAAAGCTAAACAAACACCAATTCACCTCGAGCAAGCCAAGACCAACACCAGAAACAACACCAGAGTGCCGGACAAAGAAAAGTATACATTGAAATCAGAAAAAGYGATAGAGACTTTGGATAAAAGACAAAAGCTTCCCGGTCTGAAAGGACAGCAGAAGCGAAAGATGAACTCCGAGTCTCGAAAAACAAAAGAAAACTGTGAAAGAACAGGAAATAGTCGAATAATCTTRCCTCCTATTAAACAGTCAACCAACTCGTGTAGGAGCTCTGTCTTTCCAAAAGAAAAGATCGTTCTTCCTCCAATCAAGCAATGAAAAAAGGCGGTACGCAAGTCATTCAAGATAGCGAAAAGAGTGTCTTAATTGAAAATGTCTTAATTTGTAAATATATTAATTTTTTTCTGTTTATTCTTTCATTCTTTGGTGAATTTTAAGTATGTAAGTAGTATGAGAAATATGAACATTATCTAGTTGGTATCGAAGATGGGAATGAGAAATAATGTAAATAACAGTAGCTTTAATAACCAAGTTTGAAATCAGAATTGCATAACTAGAAGTACAAAGGCGGCTCATGTCGTTTGAGAGTGAGCTATTTTTATACAGTAGCGCGCAACGAATCATATTCCTCGAAATKAAACGTGCGTGCAGTGCTGAGTTTAGCCGGTAAAAGCAAAATAAGCAGAAAAGAGCCGAGCTGTATTTGTGATTTTGAAAATTAAAATTTCCATCAAAAAATATTTCTGGATAAAAATTGCTTTGACACCTGAAAAAAAAACTATTCAAAGATAACATTCTTTAACTGTAATCATACAAGCGAAAAATCAAGAGTGTTCTGAGCGCCGCCATCTTGAAAAAAAGCGAGAAGAGAAGGCTCTGGGAACGAGGTTGAACTCGATCGGGGAGATAGAAGCGCCAGTTTCTTTACCATCGGTTATCGTTTGTAAATACCGAGAAGGCGGCTGAAATGTAAGAAAGCGATTAAAAACGTGCTAAAGATAGAGAGAAATCATTCTGCCGGGCTCCCTTGATGCGAGCAGAGTTTCCCTCCTCTTTCTGTCTCTTTAGGGTAGGGGTAGGGGTAGGGTAGAGGTTCTTTTGATACACCGCCGCCTACATTCGTGGACGAATGAAACCAGTTTTAAATCCAATTTTTTAACCGGATACACGTAAAGCGCAYGAACAAATATAATTTGATCAAATGAAGGATTTTAACAGCGTTGTAAAGTTAAATTACCYCACGCATGCGCGAAAAATATATAACGTCTTATAACGTCCTGTTGTCCGTGATGTTGCAGAAGTAAAGCACGATTCAATCGTTCTGAAATGTTGCACGCAAAGTTACACCGTGTAGTGTTTCAGCGCCTTGGTAGTCACCAACACGAATATTTTTCCGGCGCGTATAGATGGGTGGATAAATTTACAAGAAATCCCATTTTTAAATCAAATTTTCTGAAAATTCGTAATCTCAGTTAAACGAACACTGATATTAGAGTTTTAAATTGAYGTTTTTTCCTTGCAAACGGTGAATATGACAACGTTTTTCCATATTTCACTTTACGTTTAAGCAAACCTTTTTACCAAAGACGAACATTCTTTTGGTTATCTAGCACTACTTGGAGATTTTTGCGATTCCTTTTCACTAATATTACCAGTTAAATAAAGTTCACGTTTGCCGTAAACGAGATTCTAAAACTCTCTTATATTCGGATGTTTTCTATTTCAGCTCCCGCAAACAGTAGACGTGATCACGTTTTTTGCGTTTCCCTACATTTCACTTTGCCTTTTGCAAACCTTCTCACCAAAGACAAGCACTCTCTTATCTACTACTGGGAGAATTTTTAGATTCTTCAGTTTAATACAAGAAGATTGTGCTTGTCAACTGACATTTTACGTTTGTGGTAAACGAGATACTAGGCAGATTAAGATTCCCGTTTTTCCTTCCCGCAAACGGCAAACGTGACCACGTTTTCATCGTTTCCCTACATTTCACTTAACCTTTTGTAAACCTTCCCGACAAGACACATATTCTTATTTTTATCTATCACTTGGAGATCATTGCGATTCCTTTTCACTAATTTTAAAGAATTTTTCAATGGTCAACTGACGTTTCACGTTTGCCGTARACGAGAGTCTTAACMTCTCTTATATTCAAACGTCAATGAAAAGGAGAAGACTCTTTTTGCACCAGACGTCGCAAGGTATTGAAAGTCAGTGTTAGAGAACAATTTCACACGAATCTAGTATTAAAGAAAACACATTTATTAGTTGTCAATAGAATCTATATAATCTACTTAGTAGCATTTTTGCCTTACAAAAAATACAATATATTCTAATATAATTTTATATCTTTACTCTCTGGAGAAATAATTCAATTAGACAAATGTACATGAATGAGAAAAAACGATTAGCACAGTGCAGGGCTGCATGTTAGTTGGGGGGGATCACAAGTGCTGGGTCATTTTTTAGTTAGAAAAAGCATTAAAAGCTAAAGCTTCTTGCATGACGTTGGCAGAAGTTGGGAGCGAGTGTGCGAGAACTATTCATCCCCTTGTTTTCCTGTCTTCAGTGCTTTAACGTTYCATTTTAACACTATAGTTAATCAGATTGGATCTATAACCAAAAAAGTCTGAAGACTGCCATAAAGACTGAAGATATGAAAGACATTGGTTTGTTAGTTGTTCTAGCAAAAGACACTGTAGAAAAATCCTCTCTATTAAAGTCACAACCATGCAGCATGGTAGCGATGACAATCACCATATTCAGAAAAGATTCAGCAAAAATCTTCAAAGGATAGAAATAGAAAGCTAGYATTAGGATAAGTGTGGTGCTAGTTGAGATGAAACTAGACATTTTTGAGAACACAAGAAGATTTCTGCAGGCAGAAGGTTCTGTACAGATCCAGCTGATACAACAGTATGTGAAATATCCTGAATATTGATCTTAATGATGCTGTGAATGCAGGATTTGAAACAGTAGTTGCCACAGTGACACTGCTTTGCACTGTCCAGGTAATGACACAGAGATGATGGTATTATGCGAGGGTTGTACGGGCACCTGGAAAATAGTTAGCAAAAAGATGAGCATTAGACAGTTGAAAATCTGACCTGTCCTATTGCTCAAAGACATTAATCAGGGCAAAYAAAAAAATAAGTGTATTTCCTGTTACGTGGCCGACCCTAATTTTCTTGCCAATTTTTGCTGACCCTAATATTTGTTTTATTTCCCAATGCACCACAGGGTTCCCAATAAGCTCATTTCCACTGTTGTATCATTAAAAAAAACCTGACCTACCAACCCCAATTATTTTTCTCATGCAACAGGAAACACACATATTATTTTGTTTGGCCTTAACAGGTCTATGGGTCCCTTTGCATCTAATAACAGAGTAGCTCAACTTGGACAATACAGGTAATTCAAATTTCCATGATACATGTACTGTAGCTGCATTGAGAATATGATGCTGTATAATGAGTATATTACAGTAGGTTTGGCTTATTGTGATCAATTATGAATGGAGACTTTACCCCACCCTCTATAATAATGCCCCTCCTCCAGATGAGTGTACAAATATWTATAAGTTATTGCGATTTTGAGCTGCAAATCTGCTGCAAAAGGTTTATTTTGGTGGCTAGTTGGGCAAAAATATATACTGTATTAGYCATAGTCAGTGAATAATTTTTCTTTCAAAGCCATCAATATAAATGCCTATYGGTGAATCTAAATATGTTTTGTATCCCAATTCTTCTATCACAAGGTATTCCTGAGCTGAAAATATGATCCCAATCAAATATGCAGGATAATGGTGATACTATCTGGGACTACAGTACATGACACAMATTACAAGACAAACTGTTCGGCACAACCCTCAGGCCATAACTTACTTGTATTTTCTTGCTACCTGGCCAGCCAACTCCAGCAAAGATGGAAAGCCTTGACAGTCTATTGGATGATAATCTTTGTCCTCAAGGAAYGGATTGCTTGACAAATCCAGTGATTCCAGTCTCAAATTCCTCAAGCTGCTGGGCAATATTTTTAGCTTATTTGCACTTGCTGTAAGGAACCTTAAATTACCAAGGCTTCCTATCCTTTGTGGTAACAATACAAGTCTATTACCATCAAGCTTCAGGTGAACTAATTTCTTAAACCCACAAAATGTGGATGGCAGATATTCAAGATTGTTATTCCGCAAGTCCAGGAATCGCAGTGATACTGCAAGTGGTCCAGAAATTAGTTTCCAGTCAATCTCATCAATGTTATTATTAACCAGAGAAAGTTCAGATAGTTTAGCCATATTTGTAATACCAAGGGGTATTTCCTTAAATATGTTATCAGACAGYGACAAAGAAGTTAGTTCTTTTAGTAGAAGGATTCTTCTGTCAAATTTTTTCATGTAGCAGTTAGATATAACAAGGTTGTGGATTTGTTCWGGGAAAGGTTTGGTCAAGGGGTAATCAACCCTTCTGGTCACCAAAAGGTCTTTCTTTGGTCTTTCTAAATCAACAAGCTTGGCTGGAGCCAAGGTGGTTAAAGCTGCTTTATCCAAATCTCTGGCACTGAGCTTCAACAAGGACAGAAGRGATCTTAGACTTGAAGGATCAGCCTGAAATTAAATCAAAAATTCAAGTTACAGTTCAGGGCCTTGTTGTATGAAGCCTGAATAGCGTTGGATAGTGCTATCCAGGCTTCATACAACCGGGCCCARACATTCAGAACTAACCCAAGTGCCTTCATATCACTGTATATACCTATTTCAAAAAACGTTGTCTGTGGACRATCTAAAATCTGAGATCTGCGGCCAAGTAGCATGCTTCAATTGTAATACTGTATAACAGCAGAACRACATAGTTTTCTTTCAGATTGGAATATGAGGCATGACTTTCAAGTTAGAAATGTGATTTTTCGTGTTTTTAGCTTGAAAACATAAAAGCACAAAAATTCTGTTTAGTTTTAGAACGGCCATTTCAGATCACCAAYCAACAATGTTTTTAAAATTAGGTGTTTAAGTGCCCAAAAGATTTATTAACGAAGCTACAATATCTTTATCCCTATAGAATAAAACAACAACACAGCTTTCCCATGCCATCTTCTAACTAAGATATACAGCAGGCATCCAGAGTGCTATGCTACCTGCATATTATGGAAGAGGTTGTTCTATTTATTGGTATTTTGACCCCTTTTAAAGTTATCTTGGATCTTGAATGTAATAGTAAAATACAAAAGAATCACCCTTTTTCTCAATGGAATTTGGTCCATTTCTTTCTTATTTTGTATTAGCCTCGTATCCATGATAGCCTGTGTACAGCCRCTTCTCCCTATGGGGAAAGATGTGGAGAAGCGATTTTTCCCTGTAAGGGGGAAGGAGGGTGAGGGGGTTGGAAGCGGCTGTACACAAGCTAATACCACTTATCCCCACAGGGCTATATATGGATTAAAATCTTATTTGGACCATTAGCTGGAAGCAGAGAGTATTATCTTATCTTACTTTGCTAATAAACAGATCATGGGGAGGCTCATTAACACGAATAGTTGCCTTTCCATCTTGTACAAACTTGTTGAATACTTGTAGAATGTTACCATGAACCTGAAACACAGGTAATGAAAACAAAATAATRTTGATTTATTCATCAAGAAAAAAATAAAATATTTGTATTATGAAAAGGTAGGATAAGTACTGAATTGCAATATTATATAGACCCCTTGTATTAATTTCCAAAGCAGCTCAATTTGGAGGACAAAACAATTTAATTTCAATTCTAAGGAGAGTGTTTTGTCCTGTCCTGTTTTGAGCTGCATTAGTAAGTATAAATGAAAAGAGTGCCCTATCAGGGGTGGAGAAGAGAAATAGTGCTGCATCAATAGGACATGAGTAATACATTTATTGTCCCATTTATTACTACAGTTATGAAAATGTCTCTAACTAGAGGAAATAGATGTTTTTATTTTCGTTACCTTATATTTCGTTCCAGACTTCTCCTTGGCTGTACAGACTAGAAGAAACACAGTACTTCTACCATCTTCACCTCGTCCGTCCTTACGACCCACAGAAATCGAAGCCCGTACAGGTTTTCCTTGCATACGAGAAGTGCCAGAGTTACTTGAACGACTAGCAATACAAATATCACAAGTTAGACGCATATCGATGGAGATCTGATGTCGAATTCTTTAAAACAAAACAATGGAAAGAACAGAGRAATCAAAAAAATCAAAAACTTGGCGCCATATTTTAAGAATGATCATGTGACTCATAACAGCCAATCAAATATTGAGGCACATACCTGTGAGCCCGCGAGGTAACCATCAGCTGTCATTTTTTTACTGTACGATTTTCTTAATTTCTTCGATTTATCGTCTCAAAAATCTTAAATTTTCTGGCCAAATTACTCAGAAATGGCGGTAATAATCACACAGCAAATGGTTAACGTCCAGATCTCTAATAATCTGACTTCATTTATGTCAGAGAAGCGATTCGATAAGGGAATTACCATCGCCGAATTAAAGGTTTGTTTTGATAGTCAAACTTTAGTTTTTTTCTTTTCTTTTTTTTTGGCAAGGATTTTTTAAACGATGATTTACCCTTTAACAAAACTGTCAAACTTGTTACAAAATAGTTTTACGTGTATCGTTCTATATTTAGGTGTTGATATTAGAAGTGAAAATTAGATTCGCATACAAAGACATACACACCTTTACCTATCCAAAGGGTGTTGTTTTTTTCCTGGACACTAAAATGCCTCTCTCTTTCAGGGGAAACTGGAGCTGATCACTGGATGTTCAGCTAAGAGCGTAGAGCTACAGTTACTGGACAAAGAAGGAAACTTGATAGTCAAGATGGAAGATGATAATGCCTTATTTGGATCCTACCCAGTGGAGGACAACATGAGAATACATGTGAGGGGTTTGTTATTGAAAAATAAATAGTGAAGKATAAAGACTACAGACATTAATTGGTAGACCATGGAGTTTGCTTAAGAGAGGCAATAGAAARTGACTTTCTTTTTCATGGGACAGACAAGGTTTTCCAATTTTTGGGAATCCCYAAAGGATTTGCATATTTTCATGCTTTTTTGTTTGTTTGTTTGTTTTTACTTTTTATTCTTTTTTCCTTGACCTTCAGAATTTCCAGTCATTTTTGATATTAAAAGACATTCTGAGGTCCTCATAGAAGTTCGAAATTGAAATGCAGYAAAGTACCCAGGGCCAGATATACCAATATATGACATAATCTGGAGGAATCGCAAGCAGTACTTTGATAGGGGAAGGGGTTCACATAGCTTATTATTGTATTTTAATTGGACTTAATCTACATGTTTCTTAATAGGTCATCGATAAAGATCCAACAAAAGTAGCTGGTCAGTTTGAAGATCTATCAAAAGTAGAAAAATTTGAAATTGGTGAAGATGAATACAGTAAAAGGGAAGGTCTGTAGCAATAAAAATAGTAGCTAGTAACTAAGAATTTCAGTCGCAGCACTTTCCGTAGTAGATATAACAATCGACACGATCATCAAAATTTAATTCTTTAATTTTAGATTCAGTCAGAGCTTTTAAGATGAGAAATAAAATTGGTAGATTTGCCGACCCAAATCCTGAAGATGAAGAGAAAAAGAAAGAAAAAGAAAAGCAAGAGCAAGAAGAGGCTGACGCTATCTCTGTTGGTTCTCGTTGTGAAGTCAGAGTTAAAGGTGGAATGCCTAAACGTGGAGAAGTCATGTTTGTTGGTATGTACAATGTATCATAAACACAGTTTCCCATACAATTGCTGGGTTTCGATCAGCTCATAAAATTCTCTGAATCTCAATAACTGCTCCAGGTGGTCAAACGCTGACCCCACTATGTGTTGTCATCAGAAAGAATTCTATTTAAAATTTGTGTTTCAGCTGATGAACATTCTGTAGGAAATAGTAAATGACAACAATGACCCCAGCAATATAGACTTGTTCAATATTAAGTTTAGGACATTCCATGTTGATTTATTCAAATATGAATTCAACATTTTTAAAGTACATAATATATATTTTTCTAAAGTTGAAGTTTTTTTAATGGTTGTAGGAAAGACAGAATTTAAACCTGGATATTSGGTTGGCATTAAATATGATGAGCCATTAGGAAAAAATGATGGCAGGTTAGTGAGTATAAAAATTCTAATTTATATATTGATTGATCTAACATTATGACTAATAWTAATTTTTTAACCAAAGATGATATACAATGTAGAAAGTGTAGGATATATTTTCAATAGGAATATAGGTTTTATGAGAAAGGTTCAATGACATTAGTGAAATCCTAATTGCAAAACAGCTAAGAGGCTATAAATCAGGAAAAGATGCCTTATATTACAGTGAACTGATTCCAAGTGGCAGAGCTAGTCTCACTGGCTGTAGTCATTGSGATGTCATGTTTGCAGTTCAGTTTGTTTCCTGTGAAGCCTCTCTTGGCCTGAGCCTGTTCTCTTGTGATACACTTACCTTGAGGGACTGCAGGGGCATTAACCTATATTGTGTAGTTCCAAAAACTATCCATAACCCCCCTCCCACACATAGGAATAGAATTTGGAATTTCTGAAGAGTGGGGCCTGGGGGGCAGAGAAAAAACAAAAATTACACAGTTTGTATGAAAGAAAATTGGAATTTTAGGGGGGGGGTCTTTAAAAAATTTCCTTGGTGAGGGATATGGATAGTTTTTGGAACTACACATTGATCAGTCCAATGTACATAAGCAGTTATCATCACTGGCCTTATCCAGCAGTCTTAATCGTCTATTTAGGACCAAAAAATAGCAACCCTTGTTTTGTCTAGCTACTAATTTTATCATATATTTTTGGTACAGTGTTGCAGGAAAGAGATACTTCACATGTCCAAATAAATATGGTGGTTTTGTAAAGCCAAAGGATGTAACTGTTGGTGATTTCCCTGAAGAAGATCTYGGTTTTGATGATGATGAAATGTAACAACCCAGGCCTTTATCTTCTTATAATGCATCTGAATTATGTTCTAGACTACTAGTTAGGGCTATCTTCCAACAGAYTAAATTAAAAAGATTAGATGGTTATACCATTGACTTTAATATATTCAATCTGGAACTATCACAAGTTGAGACAGTTTAAAACTTGCCCATTTGTGTCTAATATTGTGCACAAGAAAATTAGACATATTGAAAAATCAAACATGTAGCAGAACAAAACTGCACTGTCAGTTGTTCTGAGGTTACAAGGTTTGAGTTGGTACATCTCATGGTTACATAACTAATTTTGACCAACTGTTGATCATTGTAAATGAGAGGACATACCACGCTAAACCATCACAGGTATATTTTACTACAAAATCACAGAAAGCTACGAAACCAGGAAAGAGTCTGAAAGAAAAACAGTTTCAAGTGCGTGTTGGCTCAGTGCRCAAGTGATTTGCAGAAGTAATTTGTTGGTATGTCCTCCTTTTGAACAATCGAAAAGAGAGAAAATTTACATTCGTAGTAAAATGACCTTTGACCATCATTTGCTGATGTATAAATCATGGAAAATGAAGGATTTCTCACTAATTAGTATTAATGATTTGTATTACTTTTTGATGGTTTGTGTGCAATCTGGGCTAGAATAGTATGTTTATTGATGAGGAGTACCCCTCCCCCCACCCCTTTAATGATGACATATTAAGGATGATGACAGGAATTGGTCATGTGCAGCCTCTCTACCCATGATTTTAGTGCACATGCTCTCATCGTGATGTTGTTATGTTAATCGAAGTATTATGATCATCCGGGTGGATTAGTCCTGAGAAGGACTGTTTGATGTGACTGACGTTTCGACAACCTGAGCGGAAGTCATCTTCAGTGTCAAGTGAAGAATAAATTCAAATTGGTCATATTGGGTTAGGGCCGTTCTATACAATATGTGATGACGTTACTTGAAGCAGCACCAAATATCAAGAAAACAGTTGACCCCCAGTTTTCTTTTATGTACAGTATATGTTTATCTACTTATTTTACACTGCATTCTTGCCAAGTTTTTAAGAGTATAACTTTGGTTATTTTTTTAGATTTTATTATCTACACAGTTCTCCAAATAGTCCCTTTCACAGTTATTGGTGCCATCTTGAAAGGTAGCTACGCATTTGCATTGAAGCGAGAMAAACAGTGAGCTTGCAATGATAGAGACGTGAATAATATTGTCCAGGGTGTTAAAAAGTCTCTATCATTGCAAGCTCACCGTTTGTCTCGCTTTGATGCAAAGGCATGACTACCTTTCAAGGTGCTGCAAGGAACTGTGAAAAGGACTACAGTGCACGTTATCCAATGTTTTCTATAAAAAAATTATCACACAAATTATCTCCAAAAGGAGCACGGTGTACCCTAATTTTTTTTGGCTCTTTGATACAAGTTAACCAATATATTTCTTCAAAGAGAAAGCAAGTTTAGCATTGGAACATTTGCCCATAAATGTCTTTAACTATTTATGAGAAGTTGACTTGTGAAGCTTGTGATCATTAGTTGCTATGGAAACAGAAACCTCTTTGAGCTTCTTTAAAATGAAAACAGCTTTGGTTGAGTTTTAGATCATAAATAAAAAAATGTCCAGTAAAAACTCTTCCATAATAGACTGAAACAATAAAAAYTATTTTCAAAACAGCAATGCTCTGCATATTTTATACCAGTTAAGCAATACTTGGACTAAAGTTTATACCAAAATTTTCGAAAAAGCTAATAAATACTTTAACATTCTATTCCAAACTTATCAAAATTTCTAGCTACGATCCCAAGCTGCAAGTGAACAGTCCCCATAGCTTCAGTCTTAAGTCGATAGCGATCACTACCACTGTAAATAATGTCAGAAGATTTCAACTGTGGGGCTCCGCCAACAAAAAAAGTCCTCATTTGTTCTCTCCAGCTTCCTGATGGCCTCCACGTCACACAATCAACCATATGCGTTCCTGGTGAAGTAGGGACATGGCAATATCCATACCCGTATATTTCATTTCTTCCGTACATATCCTGGTGCCAAACTTGAAAGTGAAACTTCGGCCATCCTTTGAGGCCTTTAGTTGCGAAGTGAAGATCCACTGGGTGACACCAAACAGCTTTTTCTTCATTTTGAGGATTGTCCACTTGAGTTTGACCTTCCTTGTGGCCAGCTATAAGCTTCCATGATCCTTCAACATGTACAGACCATTTACAGTAAAGATTATGCGAGGGGAAACCACTTGCTCCTATGATTTCCCCGATGACATGAAGCTCCGCCATCTTGGTTTATTTACGAACGAAAAAATGCCGCCAAAATCAACGCTTTACTGCGCATGTCAAAATGATTATTTTTTTGTAAAAGTTTGTACAATTATTCATATTATATAGAAAAAAAACTCACATTTACCATGATGAACATTACATTTTATCTTATTTTGATTTATTAAATATTAATATCAATATTTCCACATTTTTTGTGCTTTTCATTGCGCACCAAATTTGACTCGTACTCAATCTTACATCGCACTTGAGGCTAGAGTGAGACTGGTACTTTAGCGGCAAAAACAGAAAGCAGAAGAAAATAAAACCAGGAAAGTAAAGACCCATAAAATGAAGGAATAGAAAGACGCTAAGGATTGAATTATTGGATTTCTAAACTGAATGATGAGCTCACCAAAAGATGAGAGACCAGTGTGTAAATATGGTTCAAAGTGTTATCGAAAAAACCCACTTCATCTGGAGGAATATCGTCATCCTAACGGTATTAAGACCATAGTATAATATTTAATGCAATCGTTTTTACTGCAGGGGTTTTAAATTATTTTTCGTTAAAAAGGCGTATGAAAACACGGTAAAGACACAAAAGTTTCAAGCTCGAAAGGTTGTTCAATTTTGTTGTGTGACCAAATTATAAGTAAGATTCATCGTATTGGGATCCCTGTGTTATATATTGCAGAGAGGGATGATGATTCTGATGATAATGATAATAGTCCTCCCAGAAAAAGACATAGAAGTTCCAGTCCTAAGAGAATAGAGAGTTCTTCCCCTGAAAACAAGCTGGCATTTTATTTCACGAAAGTTAGAGGAATACCAGCCAAGTATAATGATGATAACATTGCTGTTGGAATCAAAGGTGAGGCTAGTAAGCAAGCAGATGAAATAGATACTTGTATAAGCTTCCACGCACTCAGACTTTTTCTTTACTTAGGCCGTTATTTGCATTCTTTTATGCGATGTGCACTTTTTAAGACTGTGCATGTTTTGAAATTATGTCTGAAATGTATTTGGGTTTGATTTAGGGGAGGGGAGGTGCGATAACTGTTTACTATATCATGCAAAAAACAAATTCAATAATTGTTCTATTTTGCTTTTTGTAAACTAAAGATTTAATTCTGCTTTTGAAAAACTAGCAAGAATATTACAATCTCCATGATATTGTGACCTGGAGTGAACTTGACAGTATAAATGTATCGTGTGTATGTAGATGTCAAGTTCACATGATATCGAGAAATGGCTGAACACCCTCTGCCACCTGGTTAGCTCAGTTGGTAAGAGCGCGGGTCTGTTGTGCAGAAGGTCATGGTTCAAGCCTCCTGCCAACACTCAGGGTCTTAAAATGACTGAGGAGAAGGTGCTGCCTTTGTAATTATACATCTGCAAATGGTTAGACCTTCAAGTTTTCTCAGACAAGGACTTAAAACCGTAGGTCCTGTCTGTCTTCACTATATAACCCTGTAGAAGGCGGACATAAAAGACCCATTGAAGACGCTGGTGACGACCATCTTCATTGCCCGTGCTAAACTCTACAGGGCCCACTGTAATTGGCAAAAAGCTGTTGKGGTGTCCCTGCCCTCATGGGAAAAGCCAATAAATAAAGAAATAAATTTAAATGCATAAATTAATAAATCATAAGCAAGATAGTGAGTAAAATGTATGTAAAGACTTTTTGTTAGCAAGATAGTATAAAATGCTCCCCTCCACCAAATTGAGTCTTTTAGACTACACACTTGTTTGTTTTGTGTTTCAGATCTACTTTCTCATAAAATGGGTGATTTACAAGCATCAGTACAGGTATTTTCCTGTTGTCATAGTATTGGCTGTTTTTATGAATTCCATGATTATCAAACTGGGTGTACTTCAGGTATAAATACATTCTACCAATGAATTTGGTATTTTTATTTCAGTTCAATTATATGATTGATATTCCATGGCTAATGCAACAGTACCCTCAAGATAAAAGGTAGGTACCTCTAAGTTATGTATTTCAAGAACCTGAGTACCAGCTGAGGCTTGAACCCACAACCTCCAATGTTGGCTCATTTTCTCCATGGTCCCAGGGTTGTGTGTGGGTTAAGTTAAATCTTTCCTGCAGTCATTTAGTCTTAACCTTATTCTGCAGCCCAAAAGAGATTATCATTGTGAATCCATGTTTTAGGGGATWGACAGGGCAAAGGTTTGAGATAAAGACTTTTTTAAAGTGTCCAACAGGGCTTTAGAAAGCAAAACAATAGAGCAATATTCAATCAGCTGAGCAGATCAACATTAGGGAATCAAAGGGAAGAAAGAGATTGGGTATAAAATGGAAAGGGAATTGGAGGGGAGGATGCAAAAATGTATATATTGTGTTAAGTAACTTAATTTATAAAACTGTAAGTAATTTTCAAAATTAATATTTTTGTCAAAATTATGTTTTTTAATTATAAAAATACTACATAGTTTTTAATTTATTTTTATTTTGTACTATAGGTCCAAACCCTTATTAATTGTTCATGGGAGTCAAGGGCAGTCAAAAACTGAAATGATCAAAGATGCCGAACAGTTTCCAAACATCAAATTTTTCCAGGTGAGAGTCAAATGCTATTTTACTGGGTTACACAGGCTATTGCTTAAAACAAAGTCAAACAGYTTACTGCAATAATGTTGTTTACTGCTGTTTGCATTTCTATGCAGCCACCCCAGACACAAATCACATTGTGTAGTTTGCAATGGACTGCCGTCAATCAAACCCCTTATTTTACTTGTATGCACTCAAACTCTTTGCAATTGCTTTCRGTTGTTCATTCGTGATATCTGACTGAGAAAGTTTGATAGAAAAGCCAACTCACTGATCCAAAGGTGTATAAATGGCGTCAACATGAATGATTGACAAACTACAYGATTTGTGTCTGGGGTGGCCGTGTAGTAATGCAAACAGTGGCAATACTTGACTTGATAGTTCAGACTGCGATTAGCCAGGGTGTTGGTTTGTTGGTGCCCATTTATACTAATGGGAGGAGGGGGAGAGGCATTGTAAGAATTAATTTCCCTTAAATCCAAACTTAAATCCAAATATTCTCCATTTATAACATTTTCAGGCACGACTGGAAGCTTATGGTACACACCACAGGTAACCCAATGAAAACTATTATTTTATTTTCTCATCTTCTTTAAAGCACCAAATAAGAATACAAAATGATAAATCTAAATCTAAAATAGTGTTTAAAAATGCATAATTAATCTGTTTCTTTGATTAAATAGCAAAATGATGCTTCTGTTGTACTCAGATGGCTTGAGGGTCGTCATAACAACTGCAAACCTTATTATTCAAGACTGGGATCAGAAAACTCAGGGGTATGGACATATGAATTTGCTCTGTGTATATAATGTAATTATTATATAACACCACATTTCCATGTAACCCAGTTTTGCCACCCTGTGGGTGTGAATGGAAGGAGTGGAGGGCTGTTAGAGGTGTACCCATACACCATTTTCTATGTAACCCAGTTTAACTAAATTTCATCAAACATGATTAAATACCCTACTCTAACTCTGGTTSGCAATTGCCTTGACACCAGATAATAATACACCTGTTACTGGAACATTGCTTCAGTGCCTTCGCCCAAGCTTTGTATACATATGCATACTTCAGACTGTCACTTTTTCATCATTATTCTGATGAAGGCTTTCACAAGAATAGCTCTCATTTTTTATGAGATTTATGCATTCAAACCAAAATACTTACATTATTACAGTCATACGACTCATGAGACAGTAGCTTTTGATTTTTTTTGTCTTGTAAGTAACTAAATGATATTTATTTGTTTTGTAAGGGTATGGATTAGCCCTAAATTTCCAAAGATTTCATCAAGTGAGGGCAGTTCTGCAAGTTCATCAGCTGCTTCTACTTCACAAGCAACACCAAGAAGGAATACTAATTTTAAGAAAGATTTGCTGGTAAATAAAGTGAAGAGTATATGTGTTTTTTGATAGAGTGTGAATGAAATAGGTCTATTAATATTCTTAGTGTGGAATCGTCATTACAGAAAACCAAAAGTTCATATACATGTAGTTATAGACTTCTGGTAAAACTACTAAAAGGCTTTTAGATCCCAAATGTTAGGTGTAAAGTCCTTAGATGAGAGGAATGATACATGAAATGTGTTTTTATCACTCGGTAAAGATCTATATGTTATCTCTCATTTTTGATAGACGGTAAACTATGACTATGATATACACATTTATTTATCAAAATATTGGCAGTTTTAATGCAATAAAAATCCAAAGGGTTGGAATATCATTTATACATGTAAGATGACCAGTCATTTGTTATTGCAATGCATTAAGAGCTACTATTGATGAATGACCAATAATTAATTAATAACTGTATTGTGAGTCAGAATAGCTCAGTAGTATTTGTTGTTGTGTTTTAGGAGTATTTGTGTGCCTATGGTGGAACAGCCCTTGATGAATGGAAGAAAGATGTTCGCCAACATGACATGTCTTCTGCCAGGTTTGTTGCCCTTAATAATAAAAGCAGCATGTTCAAGCAACAATGTGCTAGCTAAATATACAGCAGTAATAAGTCAGAGCTCTTTAACACTTTAGCATATTAATTGGGGAAAGTTGTAATTTCCCAAGAAAGCAGGGTATCTCTTGTAAGTAAGAATGAACCTCACTGGAAAGCCTTCTTTTTAGAGAAGTGTGTCATTTTTGAGAGTCTGAAAAAAATTGAGAATCTTCTGGGAAAAAAAGATTGAAGGACAGGAGAGAGAAAAGRCTAATTCAATAAAACACATGACCCCTGCTTCCCTAATTAGTCTCTTAGCATCATTAAGCTTAACTGTGCATCATTCTGACAACATTAATTTCTTTTTTTCTATTTTAATAGAGTACATCTTATAGCATCTGTTCCTGGTCGCCATTCTGGTTCAAGTAAATCAAAATGGGGTCACCTCAAGTTAAGAAAGGTTTGCAAGTGTAAAGTTTTTGATATATTTTTCCCAAACRTAACTGGTTTTAMAAAGAAGTAATACTCAAGAGAATGACAGGTGATCTGAATTAGGAAAATATTGTGCTCAAGCTGAAGAGGTCCATATCCTTTAAACATACCATTAGTCTGATGGAACAAACTAATGTTGTTTCAATGCAAGACCACTTTAGTGAAAGGGTTTCTGGCCTTAAAGATTTGCCTGTSAATGAATGTCACGAATGTCACTGAAGTACCAGGGTTTTGGGCATTAGTAAAATGTACTAAAGTTTGGCAAACCTCCAGATATCTGTGTCACTGCCCCTAAACCTTACTGATCTTTGTCTGCTGGTTTTGTGCACATGCAAGTATTCTATTTCTTTTGTCAACATGTATGTAGGAAGCAAGCAAGAACTTATCCCCTACGAATTAGTACATGTAAACTTTCAAGCACTGATGAAATTGTGGAAATGTGAAGCATCTTCCTGTATTGTTTTCCATGTTGTTTTCTTAAGAGATACTGGCGATGTTGATGAAAATGGAATGCTTTCAAATGCACAAAATCATGCAGAGTAATAGTCTGACTGGCATCCATAATAATGTTATCAGGGTTCGTGCAGGTCCTTAAACTCCTTGAAAAGTGCTGGAATGTAAAATGCATTTTCAAGGGCACTTAAATCTCCTTGAAAATTGAAAAAAAGTAGAAATGTCCTTGAATACTCCTTGAAAACTCCTTGAATAATTTCTTGGGAACCTAGCACGAACCCTGTGTTATCGCTATAGGTTCTCCAGGAGCATGGTCCATCATCAGCGAACGTCTCACCAAGCTGGCCAGTCATTGGGCAGTTCTCAAGTATTGGATCTCTTGGCAATGACAAAAGCAAATGGTTGTGTGGAGAATGGCTTCAAAGCCTAGCAGTAACATCAGGAAGGATGGCTGGATCTAATTCTCCTTTAAAACTGGTAGGACGTCAGTCACAAWTATACCCATAGATGAAACCTTTTGATTCCAGAAAATATTTATATCATTCCAGTAAGGGATTTTCAAGCCCCTGTCATCAAAGTCTCCAGTAAAACTAGTATTATTAAACTTGATGGTAATTCATGAGGAAAACACTAGCAACCATGACCTTGGAAGAGTTTGTATACCGTATACAAAATTGTATTAACGGTGATGTTATTTTGTCTTTGGCAGGTTTTTCCATCTGTTGATGATGTTCGAATGAGTCTTGAAGGATACCCAGGTAAAAACGCATTCAATACTAAAGTTACCTCTTTCTTGGGGAGGGGAGGGTGGGGCAGTTGTTTTGCAGGAGGCCAGGCTTTTGAATGGGAGAATGAGGGAGGGATAATGCAATGAAAGTAAATTTTGCAAACTATGAGTTCAGAACGAGGTGGAAATTTGTTTCCTCACCTTTTGACCTCGTAGGATTTRTCACTTCACGCTGGTCAAATGAGTTGCAATGCATGGAATGGTGCATATGAGAAAGTCACACAGAAAGAGAAAGTGTTAGGTTTTGCGGAGGGAGGAAAACCTGAGAACCCTCGAATCAAGGGAGAGACCTAACAAACTGTACCCACTGCCGAGTCAGAGTATCGATGTGAGAAGCGAGTGTATGCCCTACCGGAACGCCATACTTGATTCCCACTTTTTGAATTCTCTTGTCAATTTTTTTTCCAGCTGGTGGATCAATACCTTACAGTCATAAAACAGCAGCCAAGCAGCCTTATCTGCCGTCATTCTTCTGGTCAGTTTTCCTCCAAAATTTACTTTTTATCATCCGTAGTCCTAGTCTCGATTTCTAGCCGTGGTGATTTTGGTGCGCCCACAATCCTCTCTCAGCGAGGCAGGGATAGCTTGGCACAAACAACAACCTCACGGCTGAAGCAGAGCCTACCGTAGTCCGTGTTCTCGAAGGTCATAGAGACTCTTACGACCTCGTAGTAAATAGCAGAATTTGGCGCTAAATTGGGAAATCCAACTTTGCAAGATTGAAATGCAATACGACGTTATCAGACTCAKTCCCACAAGCCTATACACCCCGAGGTTGCTGCAAGTCTTTTTTATCATTATTATTCTGGATTCAGTGTGTACAAGTTATTATGACACTACAATTACTTCCCACCCATCTTCTCTACTATCACATAATTCGAGCGGCATTAGTGGTTCTGTACATTTGTCATTCTTATTTCGCGTCGTCATTCAGCTAGCGACCTCAGGATTTACAAAATCTGCGACGGCGACGTCGACCGGAAATGTAAATAACTCACTTCACTTTGGGGTTTCGCAACTTCCAAGTCTTTCCCACCCCCCTCCCCCCCCCATTATATCTCTAATGAAAAAAAAACCCAAAGAGAAATTATGTTCACTTCCGGTTGACGTCGCCGTCATAGATTTTGCAAACCTTAAGTTCCGTAGTGTCACCAGGGGAGGGGACAGTAAAATATAACCCGGTTGCTTTGTCTCCCGCCCCTCTCTGAATAGCAAGACTTTATTCTCTTGTTTTCCTTTCAGTCGTTGGAAGTCTAACAGCCATGGTAGAAGTCGAGCTTCTCCTCACATCAAGTCGTACATAAGGGTTTCTCCTGATACAAATAAGCTTGCCTGGTTTATGGTCACTAGGTAACGGGCCGCCTTTTAACCCATGTCTTTTGGTAGTGATTTTTGTTTTCCTTATTTGTTTCCCCTTTTTTTGTCTGAATAGTGTCAGGTCTGCTTCTTCCTCTGTTTTTTTTTGTTTTTGTTTTTTTTCGTTTTTGTTTTTACTTTTCTGTTTGTTTGTTTGAGTGGCTTAAACCGTTTTTCTCAGATCAGCTGGATATATTGCGCGAACTTACTCCTTATCCAAACAGAATGGTTAAATATGTCATTGCCATGTCGTACTCAGTTACAATATTTATTTCTTGTTAGTTGTAATCTGTCCAAAGCTGCTTGGGGAGTCACGGAGAAGAACGGTTCACAGTTGATGATTCGTTCTTATGAGATCGGTGTCTTGTTTCTACCAAAGAACCAGGTCAGTAATAGCCTGCGTAGCGGCACTCTAGGGGATTGGGGAAGGGGGAGAGAGGAGTAGAGAAACGCTCCCTCTCTCTCTCTTTTTGAACATAGAATAGAGTTCAATCTATGTTGATTTTCATTCCAGGAACCAAACCAAGACTTCTTTTCAATACACGGACACACGCATGCTCAATCGGGATCGAGTATACCAGTSCCAGTCCCCTTTGACCTGCCACTTACTCCATACAGCAAAGACGGTGAGTCCCTCATGCAACTGTAATTGTCAAGTTTCATATCGTGAGTGGTCGGACAATCGTGATAACGATGTCATGAATATCTCCATTTCCCCCCCGTGACTCATTTAAAGTATCGGGCTGCATGTGTCGAGCTTAATGGTACCATACAACTACATCTACCATTGGAATAAAAATTTAAAATCATTAAATATGGTGTCACTGATATAAATCMCTTATTAGCAACGTTATTCTTTTCATTTGGCCACCCGGAAATCTAAAATTTCAAGAGAAAAAGTGACACCACAGTTTTGCAAATTTTCTTGATTTGGCTCGAGTGGCTTAAACCGTTTTTCTCAGATCAGCTGGATATATTGCGCGAACTTACTCCTTATCCAAACRGAATGGTTARATATGACATGACATGACATGACACCAAACAAACGTAATGAAATGTTGCAAAGTGACAGTGGTTTAGCAAGAGTGATTTATGCGGAGAAAGTTTTCTTTCAGTRKGCGAACGTTGGTAGAGCTGGTAACYTTGATTTTTGTATACAACCTAATATATTTTACCTTCCTGTACACAATTTTTTTGCTAGACAAGCCCTGGATGTGGGACGTACGACATACAGATAAACCAGACACACATGGCAACATCTGGTCACCTTCATAAAACGACGGCTATACCCAATTCAAACACGTTGGTACAATAGAAAATATATCATCGATAAACTTGGTTATTTTATGCCTCAGTTGCTTAAAAAATTAGGGGTTTGGAGATAATTAATTTAATGGCTTTTCCATTGTTTAGATAAAATTGTGAAAATCTAATAAATAAAAACTTTTTTGGGTTGTTTGTGATTTTATTAGTGAAAAAACTCTGGTGTGGTATGACAAGAATATAGATTTTTAGCGTAATTTCCTTTGAGGTTTTATCTCCAAGTGGTATGACACCTTCCTGTTATCTTCAAATAGTCTTCATTRATGTGTTTTAAAAATAGTTAAAAACACAATAAAACAAGTGCATGATCTCTCTTCACAAGTGAGTGATATTTACTCCTTTGTAACTGTCCACCAGAACTTCCATCTTAGCATTTGACTTTGCTTGAAGATCCTCAATAGTTGGCCTTGTTTGTGGATCGCCGTTAAGGCACTCGCTGATCGTGGTGTTCAAGTCATCAGAATATCCATTCAAAGCCGCTGGCTTCTTCCCTTCCATGATATTCSCCATGGCGCTAAACATGTCTGTGCCAACGTTAGCATAAGCTGGCTCTAGWGCTGCCATCTCGTAGAAGAAACAACCCAGTAGCCATATATCGTTCTTKATGGTTAACTCTTCGCCCTTAAGGGTCTCCGGTGAGGTATACACCCCAGTAATGCCTTCATCGCTGATCCCTGTTGCTTCAGTACTAATGAGGTCTTGCTGGGATGAGTAGTATAAGATGCCGCTGTCAAGCTTCAAGACACCGTCTTCAGTGAATGACAATCGATCTGGCTTCAGACCAGGGTACGACACTCCTTGGTCATGAAGGTACTTTATGACAGCTGCAAGGTCATGAAAAGCTTTCCACAATAAAAACTCTGGGATTGTTTTCTTCTCTTGTTTGAGATGTTTGAGGATGTCCACTAATGCGTAGGGCGGGTACTCAAAGACCAATATCTTAGTCGAGTCCTTGGTAAACGTGATGTAGTATGACATTAAGTTTGGGTGTTTCAAATGCTTCATGCCTGCCCATAGTTCTACTGCAGTATTTATGTCCTCGCTTGCCAGGCTTTCCGGTACGACCTTGATGACCACATCTGACATATCAAGTAMGCACTTGGCAGGGTAAACGCAGTGGCTCATGTGTTCGTCGTTCAGCTCATTTTTGTTCACGTAAAAATCTTCCAAGGTCAGTTGATTGGACAGAGAATTGATTATAGCTTTAGGTAAAGGCAGTTCTGTTATTCGAGCCAGGTTTTTAAGACCAACAGAGTGCAGTATCATCGTGCGGCAGTGTTCTTGAAGCGACGATGGATCTGCGCTTCCACCTTGGGTAGATGCAGAATCCGAGCTTGCACTAGGATTCAGAATGTTCAAGCGCAGTTCGTTGTTGATGTCGGTGAGCGAGCGGGTTCGTCTTGCCATCGTTTTTGATACTTACAGACCAATCAGATATTGCTTGTGTTAAACCAAGTGAGGAATCTTTATATTAATGACGTCATAAATGATCGAACACAAATCAATTTAGGTAATTAAGATCATTATTTATCCAATTAAATAARTCAAAAAGCGCACTTTTCGATATTACATGTAAATTTAAATACGCGCRTGGCTTCTATTTTTTTTAGCAGCATGTACAGTCTTCCATGCAGAGGTTGCAATTGCAACATTTGAGGGTTTCGTATAAAACCAAAGACTTAAGAAATTGAGTTAGAATTAAATTAGGCCAAAAAAATAGAAAACATTAACGCAGACCAAAATGATCACGGGCTCTTGGAACGAGTAATCGCGCGCGCGGTTTCGTAACAAAGACAGCATACATTACGTTTCGAACTTATTTGACTTATATTTTAACATGTGTGTTCTCAAGAATGAGTAGTACTAAGAATCAAGTTGTACGAAAGCGTTCCTTGTCGGCTGAGCCGCAGGATGTGACAGAACGGCTTCCTGCCTCGCAATACAGAAGTGAAAGTGTGACTCCTACGCTTCCTTCGTTAACTAGTGCTGCACAACCAGAAAGCAGCAAGGCTTCAAGCAGTTTAAGGTTAGTGTGTCTTGTACATCTGGCTATGTACTCAATTGACTGCATCTTGCGATTAGCCTATCCTCACGCGTGCCACAATGGGTTTTACCGCTGCCATTTGCATTGGCTTAGTTTCACTGGCGCTGATCCATCCTCGGAAACCCGGGGTAAATTTCTGTCGCTCGTTACTTGTTTTCAGTAACAAGCGACAGAATCTTACCCCTGGGAGGATTTTGTCAGCGTGGTGTTGCTCTCGCCTTACTTCTCTTGACTCGGCATCTCTCATATTTTAACAAAATTTGCTTGGTCTTTTCCGAGCTGGATTCTAGATTTTCTCCGGGCTCTCCAGTTTTCTGAGTATATGATCYACTCTTTAAAAAGCTTAAACTCAAATCCTATTCCAGCTGTTTGTTTGTTTCAATAATATGACAATCTATAAATAAATTTGCTATTTATACTACTTTCATTTTATCTAGATTTAATAGTATTTTTTGTTAAAGTTTTAATCTTTTGTCGGTTTTTAGGAATGATGATGTCAAACTGAGTTCCACTGCGAAGGTGAGCGCKTGGCTAGAAACCATGTACGATAGCCGCACACACATGAATGACGTCACATCTCAGGTATGCTTTTAATTMTTTTTATCTTACCGTAGTTTTAAAGGAAATCAGTTTATTTTAGACGGAGGCTTTAAAAACAGATTGAAAGTATGCTTCGCGCCGCGCAACTACACAAACTCTTCTATTTATATTCACTGGCACGATTAAGTGGCATGAATACAATTGATACCTTTTTAARCAAAGCAGTCTTCCTAAGACAACCCCTTTTCCTATAATTGTTTATTCGTGGTTCAGATACGTTGTATATACTACTAACCCTTGCAAGGCWATCCATATATACATGCAGTATGATGGCCGTCTCCAGAGCCAAAATTTCTTGAATTCCATTCCCTGATCTCCATACGTTTCCTCTCAAGTGATGAAGCAGTGTTTTGATGCTGCTACTCGATATTAGCCATTGGTTCAGGAAAAAATAGGTCGAGTTGGCATTGCTGTGCATTTTGGGGCTGTAATAGACGCCATCTTGGAAATATGTGCACTAAAAGAGCCCCACAATGCACTGCAACGCCAATTCGACCWGCAAATTTTCTCGACCTCGCAATGGCTAATATTCAATAATGGAGTCACCATGAAATATAAAATAATTATTCATTCGATCGACAGCAGGCACCAAGAGATGCTTTAGACGTGACGACTACGAACTTGGGTTCTTTGCATCTTGAGCCAATCGGTGGTGAGGGGAGCCCCTTAGAAGGCAGGACTGATGCTGTAGTAGTGTTCGGTCGTCGTCAGGGAAAAGCCATTCCTCCTATCTCAAATGCTCCTAAGGTAGAGGATACCGAGAAAACCATAACAAGTCTGATCAAAGATGAGAGCAATGAAAGGTAAAATTTGAACACATGCACGCTTTACAGAAGACAGTGTGTTTGTCAGTACTGAGTACGAAAAGGGTCTGGTCCTACGAGTCGAACCCTCTTTTGCTAATATTATTGTACAATAAAGGAATTAATTTCATTTCTTATCTTTATTTAAAAAATAWAAGTAAAATAAGAAAAACAGAGCATAAATTTATGCTCTTTATATTTCTTGATAAGAGGTACTAGAACAACAACAACAACTTTATTCTCATTTCAATAATAATGTCACAATTATAATTGCTTAACCGCAGTTAGCATAAAAAACTATCTTTAGGGACTCGTCCTTTTGCGACGAGGATGTTTGCACCACCTTAGCTACTGTAGACAGTCAAACGAGTTCTCCAAACATCAGTGGTGAACCAACTGACGATAATACTGA